CTGAGGTGGGAGAATCGCTTGAACCCAGGAGGCAGAGGTTGCAGTGAGCCAACATCATGTGACTGCACTCCAGCCTGGGCAACAAAATGAGACTTGGTCTCAAAACTAAATAAATGCATAAAAGTGTACAATTCAGTAGCATTTAGTACATACACAATGTTGCACAATCACCACGTCTATCTAGTGAAAAATATTTTACTCTTGAAAAATGTCTTAATTATCCCCAAAGAAAATGCCATACTTCATTAGGAATTCACTGTCTATTCCTCTCCTCGCAGCCCCTGGCAACCACCAGTGGGACTGGGCTGATACAGTGGGACACACACATGGCACATGGGGACATCTGTACATTGGACTATTATTCAACCGTTTAAAAAATGGGCCAGGTGCTGTGGTTCAGGCTTGTAATCCCAGCACTTTGGGAGGCCAAGGAAGGAGAATCACTTGAGGCTGGGAGTTTGAGACTAGCCTGGGCAACATAGAACCCATCTCTACAAAAAAATTAAAAAATCAGCCAAGTATGTGGTGCATGCCTGTGGTCCCAGCTACCTGGGGGGCTGGGGTGGGAGGATCGCTTGAGCCTGGGAGGTCCAGGCTGCAGTGAGCCGTATCTCGCCACCGTACTCCAGCCTATATGACATAGTGACACCCTGTCTCAAAAAAAAAAAAAAAAAAGACTCCGTTTTTGAGATGGAGTCTTGTGGAGTGCAGTGGCATGATCTCGGCTCACTGCAACGTCTGCCTCCCAGGTTCAAGCATTTCTTCTGCCTCAGCCTCCTGAGTAGCTGGGATTACAGGTGGCCACCACCAGGCCTGGCTAAATTTTTGTATTTTTAGTAGAGACAGGGTTTCTACTATTGGCCAGGCTGGTCACGACCTGCTGACCTCAGGTAATCCACCCACCTCGGCCCCGCAAAGCGCTGGGCTTACAGGCGTTAGCCACCGAGCCCGACCAAAAAATGTAAGTTGGATATGAGCTGTGACATGAATGAATCTTAGACATTATGCAACTTCCTATAAATGCAGTCACATAATATGTGGCCTTTTGTATCTGTTGTTTTTTCGTTTAACATAGTGTTTTCTTGGAGGTCCAGCCACACTGCAGCATGTATCAGAAGGCACGTGGCGCGTATACTATCTCTGTATAGCTAGACCACATTGTGTTCCTCCATTGCTCTATTGCTGGACACTTGAGTTGTTTCTTCCTTTGGGCTATTGTGGGTAATGCTGCTATGAACATTTGTGTACAAGTGTTTGTTGAGTCCCTGCTGCTTTCTCCTGTTTTGGATATATTCCTAGGAGTGCAATTGTGGGGTCATTATTGCATTTTAGTTAGAAGCACTCTCTACCCTCTGAAATGTGTTGGTGGCATCACTGTCTGTGGCTTTTTAAGGATTCCTGTCCATCATTTCACATTTTCTGAATTCTCTAGTTTCACCTACCTGAGGGCCTCCCGTAGAACCACTCATGGACTCCGAGGTGCGTGTTGTGAAGGCCTTGACCTCTCACACGCTGCTCTGGGTCTGCACTGAAATAGAGAGAGTCATTAAAAGAGGAAGAGTGCTCTGCTGCTGTGGCAGGGCTGAGGGGGAAGGCGACAGAGATGGGATGAAGCTGTCATTCTTTTTTTTTTTTTTTTTGAGATGGAGTCCTGCTTTGTCGCCCAGGCTGGAGTGCAATGGTGTGATCCGGGCACGCTGCAACCTCTGCCTCCCAGGTTCAAGTGATTCTCCTGCCTCAGCCTCCCGA